TATTTACGGCCTCGAAGTTATGACTGTCCAAAGTGACGTGAGAGCCGAGCCGCGAATGCGATGAATGTTTGTTTGTTGACAGGAGATATTTCGTCTTTTTCCCGTTCCTACCAGACTCATATCTTCGATTCCTAATTCAGTCTGGAGAAAGCAGAACTCACGGCGCGATGATTGAAGCCAATAATGTTAATATCATCGGTGTACACTAGCAGCTGTACACACTTTTAGAAGATTGCTATTCAGCTCTGCAGCTGTTATTATTCTTTCCAGCAATAAGTTAAAAACGTCACACGATTAGCAGTCTCCCTGTCTGAGACCTCGTTTTGTATCGAAAGGCTCGGAGAGATCCTTCCCGATCCCGACGGAGTTTTTGGTGTTGCTTAACGACAATTTAGATAACCGTTTAAGTATTTCGGGGTTACCAAATTCAGACACATTCGTGTTGTGAAAGGCGACTTTAAAATTGACGAAGAGGTGGCGGGTGTTGATCCTCTTTGCATAAGACTTTTCAAAGATTTGGCGCATGTTGAATATCTGGACAATGGTCGATTTACCAGGTCTGAAGACACACTGATAAGATCCAATCGACAGGACCTTATATGCGGTATTAAGGAGGCTTTTCCCGCGATAAATGGCGCAGACTGTGGTGTCCTTATTTTCGTCCGACTGAAAGTCGCTGATACATGTACCTTATTAGCTCTTCACTGCCATGTTTGAATAGCTCTTTTGGAAGGCTACCAGTTTCAGCCAATTTGTTGCTCTTTAAGCGGGCGATCGATCAACTTCCCGCAAAAAAAAAGGATTTCAAGTAAAAGGAAGTATAAGCAGAATTTCCTGGATTTTCCCCAAAAGAATAGTAGTCTTTGCGCTCATTTAAGAAAAAAAGCTAAATATGAACCGACTGTCGTACAAGCCGTTCCAGGAACCATAGAAAGAAACTGACAAATTTTCGATATAATCTGCTGTGTAATTTCGGAGATTACTGGAGACAAAAATACAAACATACATAGGTTTAAGCGGCCGCGATAGCCGAGTGCTAAGCGTACTGCCTGCCATTCAGAAGGGCAGGGTTTGGGTTTTGGTTCGAACAACATAAAAAAAAAATTATTATAGAAAATTAATTTAAATAAAAATTAATTTTAAGTATAACATTTTATTTAGTTTTGCTCTAAATGAAGGTTTTTTTCGAGGTGAGTGTTTTTTTTTTATATATATTTTGGCCATTCTCGATACAAATCTCCCTTATTTAATTTATGAAAAGCCCCAAGTCGACAATTGGCATTTCAATGTGGCCTAATCTGAATTTCGCTCTTCCTTACTCATACTTTATATTAACAGTAATTTTTCTGTTATTACTTTATTTCCACACTTTTATTTTGCCTTCCTTTTTATTTTCATTATATATAATATCCTTGCTGCTACACTTGCGGCAACTGTAGACGCATAAAAAGAAAACTTTTTTTTTCTAACCCAACAACCGCCAGTTGCCACTGACATTGAACTTTGTGGCTTGGCTTTCGTTGGCGCTGGTTGTTGGCAGGTTGGTTATTGCTGCTGCGCTTGAGCTTCCGCGTAGCTCATTTACACGCAGCAGCGACAGTGGCAACAGCATTACGCAGTGGTAAATTGCATAGCCGGCAGCTGTTGGCATCCGATGCGCTCGTTCTAAAAATGTAAGCATCCACTGTGTGGCTTTATGACCGACACAGCCAGAGCTGCATATTGTTTTTGTTAGCAAAGTTTAACTGTCATGCACCGTTGTGGTAGAGTTGCAAACGCCTGCAGCAAAATTGTTGCTGTTATAAAAAGAAAACAGAATAGAAAATAGAAAATATTTGCTTTTGAAAATATGTTGTCCATTCCACTGTCAACAACGTCAACAACATGCTTGCACATCTGCCTCTAATTAATTATTTCCCGCTTGTGCTTGTCAAGCATGAGAGATTAAATATTAATTCTTTAAGTGAAATTTTCTGAAATAAATGAATATCAAATATCGCCTGGTGCTCTGAAACATTGCATAAATTCGCAAAAAAAAAAATAGAAATGAAAAGAAAGAAAGAAAAACCAACAAAAAAAAAACTATCGTCAAAACTTTAATTATCTCAGTGAATGTCATAAATCATATTCGTATGCGAGCACGTATTATTAATAACAAAAAAGTGCTAAGGTCACTTCCATATGTCATTGCAGAAGTGAAGGTCAAGCGTGACATAGTTGCAGACAACTGCGATCCAACAAAAGTCACTCTGCCAATAAAGCACCGAAGTGACAAGTAAGCAATCAATGTCAATATGATTGCAAATGGAGCATATAAAAATGATGAATGTTGACAAGCAGATATTTTAGTATTCGCTCGAATAGTTGTTTTTTGTTGAAAATACGCAAAGCAGATTTTTCAAACCGAATACTCCCACCCAGCTGAATGTATGTAGACGTAAAACAGCTGCTTTTGCTCCCAAAGCTAGCGAGGCTAGGAAGAGAGTGAGAGAAAATGCTGGTTAACAGTAGAATAAAGCGCAAATCAGCTCCGGTTAGTTTGTTTATTGAGTAGGGAGAGCATGGGAAACTTCAACTCTGTTGAATTCACTGAAACCAGGTTGCCTCCTTCGATTCAGTATTCCCACCAGAAGGTCTTTTGAGCTATTAGCTTGATAGTCGGTGTCGACACGGTTAACCTTCATGATCTCAGTACACTGTCACTATATATCATGACAGTAAGTTACCGGCTTAAAAAGTGAGGGCGGTAGTGGAATGACCACTTTAAACTTGGACGCTGTTAAAATAAAGTATAAAAATATAAATAATCACAGCTGGGGGATTTCAGGTCTATAGAGAGTATTTGAACTTGAATTTATGGATCATCTAGAAAATCTAGAAAATATCTACTTCGCAAGGAAAGCTGTATCAGTTAGGGATGTATTGGTTATTGGTGGTCAGCGGGCAAAAACGGGCATGCTGAACAAACCCTCAAGGGTGTGCTAAATTTGCGTCAAAATACATACGCCAACTCTGCTCTCTTGACCAGGCGGTATGGTTCTTTCTCTGCCGAGAAGATAAGAACACTTATGAATCACATATACCTGGGAAAGAAACGGTACGTAGTTAAAAAAACTTTGCGTTTAGAGAAATGGCATTCGACAACCTTGAGGACTCGCTCAATAAGTGACGAGAACTAAAGGAAGACAGAGGAGAAAAGCATTATTGATAATTGTTGATCTAAACGGGGATGTGTCGTCGAAAGGGTAACTACTCCTTCTATTGCGTAGAACCGGCTATCGTGACAGTCGCACCACTTGCATAGCGAATCATCTTTGATACACTTTAAGGTGCATAATCCTATGCAAAGCCGCTGGAATGTGACCAACAGACAATTATTTAAAGGCGAGTCACAGCCTTGGCACATCAGAAAGAGATTACTCGAATACAAAGACTGCATTCAGCGTCATGTACAAGAACCGCTGCACATGACGGCATAACGACAAGCTTTGAACGTCATTCATTGAGAAATTGTTAACGCCGTCTTGAACTCTCTTCCAGTGAACAACGTTGTCGGAATGAAATCGCCATTCATTGCAAATGAAAAACTGCCACAATTATGTATGATCTGGACATGGTAGTGGACTTAATTCAGACATTAACAACGTGTGTCCCACATGTAATGGGTTGGTCTCACTACACTAAGCACCTCTTTGGATAGAACAACAACAATAATAATAATAACAACAACAACAGCTGCAATAACAACTGCAATAACGACTGCAAATAATTACTATTTAAGGACATTTACATTTTTTCCGTATTTTATTACATTTAATTTATTTATTAATTTTATTAATAATTTAATTTAAACAAAATTTCTTAATTAATTTAGTTTTAATTAATATTATTCCGTTTTATTTTATTTAGTTTACTCTATTTTATTTAATTTAATTTTATTTTATTTCATTTTATTTTACTTTATTTTATTTTGCTTTATTTTATTTTTATTTATTTAACTTAATTTAATTTGATTTGAATTTATTTTATTTGATTTGAGTTTATTTTATTCTATTTTATTTTATTTTATTTCATTTTATCTTGCTTTATTTTATTTTGTATTGATTTATTTCTAAATTAATTTTATTTAATTTAAATGTATCTTATTTTATTTTGTTTTATTTTGGTTTATTATATTTAATTTAATTTTATTTGATTTGAATTTATTTTATTTCATTTTATCTTGATTTATTTTATTTTATATTGATTTACTTTACTTTATATTGTCTAATTTAATTTTATTTAATTTAAATATATCTTATTTTATTTTGTTTTATTGTGGTTTATTATAATTAATTTGATTTTATTTGATTTGAATTTATTTAATTTATTTTATTTCCTTTTATCTTGATTTATTTTATTTTATATTGGTTTACTTTACTTTATATTATCTAATTTAAATTTATTTAATTTAAATTTATCTTATTTTATTTTGATATATTATTTTATTTGAATTTATTTTAATATTTTTATTTCATTTTATCTTGCTTATTTTATTTTATATTGAATTAGTTTATTTTATGTTATTTAATATAATTATACTTTAATTTATTTGGATTGATTCTATTTATTTAAATTTTATTTTGTTTTTATTTTAATTTATTTGATTTTATTATATTTTTTTAAGTTCTATTTTATTGTATTTTATTTGCATTGGTTTTATTTTATTATAGAGTTAAAGCTGTCTCGGAGATCACCACATCAGCTTTGGAATTATCTATACTTTCAGGCGTTAATTGACTAGAACAATTTATAAGCAGGATTCAGTATTTAAATTATTTTCTATTAATTGACTTCATTTTTTACTTTAATTTTATTTATTTTTTTTTATTTTGTTTGATTTTATTGTATTGTTCATTATTCATTTGCATTTTTCAAGTTCTCTTCATTTTGTCTTATAAGAATTTTATTCTATATTTCAACAGCTTTGCTGGTAAATAAAATACATTAAATTAAAAGCATTTTTATTATCTCATAAAAAATTTATTTCCAAAAATAACTCTCAACTTTAAATAACAATGTTTACATATTCCTGCCAAAATTATATCTCAAAACGCATTCACAATAATTTGGCAATTTCACCATGCGCTCCCTGAACACACCATTCGTCAGCACAATCAACGTACGATAGGAATAATGCTGCTTACACTTGGAGCTGATGCCCATTGGCAAGAAATGTTCATATTTACAAGTACGTCCTTCATTTTCGCACTGCTCAACCAGAACACCCTGTTTGTGCTGCGCATGCTGCACGACCAGCACCCATCTAGCCTCTTTTGTTTCAACGCTTTTGGGATAAATAATACGCGATTTACTATTGCATAGATTCTCTTCACCTTCTTCGTTCATGCGATTCGCCAAATCGACTGGTGCTAAGAAATCGTCTTTGAAGAACGAGCTGAATTGCTCGAATTGCGCTGGATCAATTTTATCCAGTTGTGTGGTTTCCAAATAATTCGGTACTTCAGTGCAGTACGATTGGCCCGCTAGACGTTCAGCGCAAATAAATTCACTGTCATCATTATTTTCCTCCTGTATGATCTCATTATCGGTATGGAATACCATCATGCCGGGACCGACTTTGAATATGCTATCCAATGTACTGAGTGCATCGTATGTAGCATTTGCTTCTGATGTGGGTTGTGGTCTGCCAACAATTGGCTGAATAAGTAACGTGAATGCGAGCATGATTAGCGTAATTAAATATTTATTCGCCATGGATATTTTGTACATTTGCGGTTTTAATTTTAAAATGCTGCGGCTTGAAAATTTTTTGCTTTCACTCTTGCAATTACGGCAGTTACTGAATAAAAAACTATGCCTTTCGGCTTAATATATAGTGGCCATGTGGCGAAATGTATACTTGGTGGGGAAATCCCACCATTAAGTTAAATGGTACTTGCTAAGGATTAGGTATGAACCGTAGTTTAAGTGTCAACAATTTGAGTCTCTATGCTGCGCAACGTATTTTCCAACGGGATTTCCTCATTTCACATAATAGCAAATGTACATATGTATATTTGTGCTGCTTTGCTTTGTGTTTTTAAGGCATTCAACATTTAAGCCTTGCACATTTTGGCTGCGACGGCACGACAAGCGACATTCACGATTTTAAAGTGGCGTCAATTCATGAGTATATAAAGTGTTGCCACTGTAATTTGAAGCATGAAAATATTTAATATTTTCCCAAAAATGTTTTTTTGACTTAATTTTGAATTTTTAAAGTAATTAAGGCGGAGCCTGTGAAGCGAAATTTCCACGACAATCAAATCATGTGATTCGCTTCTGAAATATTGGACGACGGACTTACCCTTTCTCACGGTACATTTGTAATTCATTTGCCGTCTCAGTCTCTTGCTTTTAGTCATTGCATTCAAAGGCTTTTTCCACTTTTGAACTCAATGAAGGAGAAGAAATAAGAAATTTCACGCCTTATATCTGTATATAACTATTTTCTGCTACAAATGCTGCCTTTTTAAAATTTAATAACTTAATTTGTTAGTTAAATTTGTTAGTTTTCGATACTTTATTAATTATTATCGTTTCGAAATTCAGTTGGATGGACAATGTGGGTTTTCAATAGAGAGCCTCTGAGCGCAGCCAATGGTATAATAGATGTTTTACGGACTTGGTACGAAACGACGATCTTAGTTGGCCACCCTGCAGAGGTGATGTGGCTCTGTGGGTTTTTTTTTGTGAGAAGCTGTTAACAATAAGAGAGATAGCGAGAGGGAGGGAGAGATAGAGAGAGAGATATACAGAGAGAGATATACAGAGAGAAACTGAATTCGCTGCCGTGTCTAAATACAAATCATTTAAAATATTTGTTTTTCATTAAATTCCTTTTTTATTTTGTCGTATGAGCCATGGCATTATGTTTGAAACACTACAGCATTCAAATGACCTCCAAACTTCGATTTCCTTGAGCTAATTTTCGACCACTTTTTGGCACATATTGGATCAGTCTTAACTTGATGAATGTTTGCCTTCAAGTTAAAGGTTTATACGCATAGACACGGTCTTTCGCGTAGCTCTACAAAAAAAAATTCCAATGGTGCCAAATCACACGATCTCCGTGGCTGTTGGGGTTTTCAAAGAAGAAAGTTCAAATCATTCCATCTAACCAAAAGCGCAACAGACAGTAAGTTTGAAATAATAACATATGAAACTTGTAAAAACAATACAAAGCATTTAAAAACTATTTTTGCAAAAATTAGTTTTTCTTTATTTTCCAAAAGTCCAAAATTTCACTAAAAATTTATCCAAACATTTTCAACCCTTTGGATTTAACATTCGACGCGGAAGAATAAGACTGCGCTACCTGAGAGTACTTATATTTCAGAAACGACAGTGCCTAAATCAATTTGGGCGAAGGTTAAAACGCGCTGCAGCCCGGCCGAAATGTTTACACATAATTTTAATTATCTTAATTTCCGAACCCTTTTTAACACGAAGAACGCGAGATTGCGCCGACACACAAATGAAATGTTTAATGATCATGAGCTGAGCTATGCATAAAAGAGCTGAACAATAGCGAGGAGTCATCAGTCTTCAAGACAACGGTGACAGATAAATTACAAATTCTGAAAAAAAGAAAACGCACTTTGAACGCAAAATAATAATAAAACATTAAAATGTTACTAGAAATTCAAAGAAAATTTACGATATTTTTCTCAATACTTTCAATTCTGTTGATATCACCACAAATCACTGGTCGACCGTTAGCCGTGCCCTATGCCGATGCGGAGTTAATACGTAGAATACAGGAAATTTTCGTTATGGACACTGGTACGGCGGTATATAATATCACCTCCTTGGATGAAATCGTTCTATGTCCTGGACCAAATGATGGCGAAACATATTGCAGAGAAGTAATTAGTCATTCGGCGAAGATGAAGACAATACGATCAGAGCAGTTTGATGAATTCAAAGACGATTTCAAAGATGATTTGCTGCCGGTGGAAGAAGTGATCGCCAGTCGTATGGATATTGAAGAACCCGTGGTGGAAACAACTTGCACGAGTAAAAGTACTCTTATATATCCCGAAAGCGCTCAGTCCAAAGACGGCAAATGGTTGTTGGTCGTACAACAGGAAGACTTCAAACAGGGTGTTCTGATTGAGGAATGCGCAAGCGAGACTACAAAATGTAAACAACAATTCAGCTATCGCAACATGGTGGTGTTGGTTGGTGGCGATTTGAAGAAGGAAATGGTTAAATTGCCAAGCGCTTGCGAGTGTAGCTTGTGTGCCATTGAAGCTCAGCACGGCTGAGTGGTTATACGATATAATTGAATGCAATGAAATTTTATAATTTTTAATTTAAGAGTTGCAGTTTTTTGATTATTAATGGATTAAAACTTTGCAAAAAGTATGACAAATGATTTTTTTTTGAATAGAAAAAATTACATTCACAAAAAAATAAAACTTTTACACGTGCGTTATTTATTAGTGTATTCTGTTTTATTGATGACGTAGGTGTCTATTTTACGGTAATACATGAAAAATGAGATATTCATATACATAAATACCTGTATAATGATAAATCCTTACAAAGCCAATTAATATTGCGTATTGCTTTTATTACAAAAACACTTTTTATGATAGGAAATTAGTCATTTATGACCTTTTTTGTTTACAAAATGACATTACATTGTTTATTAATACAAAGTAATAAACATTACGCACCACAGCCAAATCCAAACAAATTAAATTACATGAGACATTGAATAAAAATTATGGGTGATTGTACTTTTTTGTCTGCTTTATTAAATGTAATTACACAACTCAACAATTTTTTTTTTTTTTTTTTGGAAATTTCGTGAAAATTTTGCAGTGTCCCAAAGCGTAATCTATTCGTTTTCCTAAATTGCATTTCCATTGATGACACTTTACCTTTGATGACACCTTGTTCGTCAACTACAGCACCCATATTTTCCGGAAAGTAGTTCAAATGAGCACCCGCAATGATGACAAAGTACACTCTAAAGCTTTTTGTGACATTAGAAATTCATTTATTTTGTCTAATTGAAAGTAAATCGCTATTTTGGCATTCAATTTATGGCTTTATTCACTATAGATAATATTTTGCTATTTTGAAGGTTATGTTGTTACGCACCTCTCATAGAAACCCTTGTCACTATTGGCAAAAAAATCAGGACAACCGATGTTTTTAGTCTTATCTTGCGTCCATTTCTTCACCAGCCAAATCATTCGCAATGGACAGGGTACTCACTTGGTGGTCGTTACTATAAAATGTGTTCTCATGAAGCCTTTGACGATTCACTAACGAAGTGCGTGGTCTGACGTTACGCTGATGAAACGAAATTTCTCTTCTGTAAGCCAAAGCTGGGCGCTACAGGGCTATTGCTTCCTTCAGAAGAACCAATTGCTGACACTACAGGCCCGAATTAAAAGTTTTGTTTGGCTTAGAGACTGTTTGCGCCGGCTCACTGCCCTTAGAACACGTTTGACGTTTATGTAAGTGATACACTTTACATCACCAGCTGCCATTCGCTTCAGAAATTGGTCGATTTTGTTACGAGTTAGCATATTTGCAGCTGGAAGTCCATGAGCTCTTCCTTTGTGTGCCCTGCCTTTTGATCGACGTTTTCGTCATCTGGTATTCCACATCGTGTCTCATATGTATTGTACTTTACACAGTGTTCATATGAAATCCAAAGAGTTATCTTGATACCTCATAAGAAATCCGAAATAGTTCAATAATTATACATTTTTAATGAGGATTGACTGTCATGTAGAAAAAAAATTCATCAAAAATTTCGTGTGAGAAAAACAGTGTTGACCATTGCTTTTTTTTTAGTATAAATTATTTTATTAATTTTCTTTTTCTGTTAGGTAAATGAGTTTATTTATTATTTTAAAAGAAATTTCTTATTCGCTTGATTTGTATGTAAGTAAATACATATATATATGAGCAAAATATTTTTACGTTTGATGGAGTAAAGTTAGTAAAAAGTTAGTTCGGATTTTTATTGATTTTTCCAAAATTTGATAGCTTTGTGTACATTTGTTCGATTTAAGTCAAATATGCGCCGTTTTGTTCGTAAACTTGTTGCTAACGAAAGGCCAACCTCATTTCACCCCTCTCGTAGAACGCTGCGTCACTATTGGCAAACAATTCGGAGAGCCAATCTTCACAAGCCTCTCTTGCAGCCAACTTCTTAGCATTAAGCGAGTTCGCCTTGGACAGGAAAAGATGGTTATCACTTGGTGCCAGGTCCGGACTATAAGGTGAGTGTATTAGGACCTTCCATCCAAGCTTCTGAAGCTTCTGGCGCGTCACCAAACACGTGTGTGGCCTGGCGTTGTCCTGGTGGAACACAATTCGGCACCTGTTGATCAAAGATGACTTCTTCTGGATGAGTGCTACCATCAAGCGGTGCAGTTGTTGGCAGTAGAAGGCCGAATTTAGCGTTTGGCCATAGGGGAGAAGCTCTTAGTAGATGACTCCTTGCCAATCCCACCAAACAAACAGCAATCCGTCAATCCGGTCTTGGCCACCATCCGGGCCGCTTCCCCGAGCTTTGACCACGACCGTTTGTGTTCGATGTTGTCGTAAGTGACCCATTTTTCATCGTCAGTCACAATCCGCTTCAGAAAGGGGTCGGTTTTGTTGCGATTTAGTAGCGATTCGCAGATGGAAATTCGGTTCATCATGTTTTTTGCGTTAGTTCGTGTGGCATCCAAACATCGAGCTTCTTCTTGAATCCAAGGTTACGCAAATGGTTCCAAACAGTTTTCTGGCTTATCTTGAGTTCCTTAGCAATTAAATAAGTGCTCGTGATGGTTTGTTTGCACTATTTCCATGATTTTATCGCAATTTTCGACGATAGGCTTACCGACGAGGCCACCGAAATTACCGGAACGGAACTTAGCAAACCACTTTTGTACTACACGCTCGTTTACAGTATCGGACCAATAAACTAAATTAATTTTTTCAGCCGCTGTGGCTGCTCTTTCGCCTTGATCGAAGAAAAATTGTAAAATTAGCGAATTTTCTCTTTGCTGGCGCTCACAAGGTACTGAGTCAGTCAATCGAAAATCGGTAAAAAAAAAAAACATTCAGCGCGAATAAACTCGTTTTCAACACCGTATAGTATGACATGATGCGGCACGTAACATTGGCATTATGGACGATAACACCATCTCTTAGATATAAACAGAACGAACTTTTTACTTGACCTAATACGTCCTTTATTTCTCTTAAGATAAATCAACTAAAATAGTGTTTCATTCACATTTTTATGTTTAAAATTGTAGTATTTATTAATAGAGTGTAGGTAAATATAATACAAGAAGTAATATTGAATCCTAAATTGCAATGCCAAAATTTTGATATGGTCATGAGAAGGCGAGGCCTAAGACAGCTTTACTTTCTTGCTTTTTTTTTAATTTTGTTCAAATTAGGAAAGATACTACTGACTTTGTTCTATAGTAAACCTTCTGTCTGAGAGTTTAAAAACAATTTTGGTAGCAATAAAAAAATATAGCAAATATACGTAAAAAATTCAAAGAATTTTTTTGTTTTCAAGATTTTTTTTTATAAAATTTGTCTTACTTCCAGAGATTTCGCAGGATATTTCTTCTATTGCATCAAAAGGATTCAAAAAAATTAGTGACTTTATTAAAAAATTGTTAATAAGAAAAATAAAATTAAAGGCCAAAAGAAATACTCAGCAGAACTTTTGAAATTTTAATCCAATTTATTTGGCATTTATAAAAAATAAAGTGCGTTTATTTACATTACATACATATTTAATTACATTTACAAGTATTAGCCCACACCACCCTAATTTGATAGACAAGAGTAAATGATTTACAGCAGTCTTTTTTAAATATTTTTTTATTTTTATTTTATTTAATTGAATTTACAATATATTTTATATAAATAATTGCCAGTTGCTTAAATATACATATACACATATATTTTTAATATTGATTTTGGTATAATTATGCTTAGATTATAATATTTTATAAATAATTTGTTTAACAAATAAGGACTTTACAAGAAAAATAAATGTTTTACTGATTTCTTGTAGAGATTTTCTAAACCTGTGAAAGATTCATTAAGGTCACTGTCCTCCTCTGAAGGTGTCTCCACAAGCTTCTCCGAAGGTTTCTCTGAGAGCGTTTCTGAAGGATTCTCTGAATAATTGTGGGATGGCTGCTCACCAGACTTCGCTGATGTCTTCTCGGGAGTGTTTTCTGTAAATTTCGCGGAAGGTTTATCTGAAGACTTCTCAAAAGATTTTTCTGAACGCCTCTCGGAAGTGTTTTCTGTAAATTTCTCGGAATCTTCCTCTGAAGACTTGTCGGAAGGGTTTCCTGTATATTTCTGCAAAAGCGTCTCAACATCTTTCTCAAACAACGGCTTGTCCAGTAAGCAAATCTTCAAGACCATATCACTATCATAAAAGTTGTCGGTTAAGTGAAACAACTGTCGATCACTGCTAATATTGGCCCAATTATCCTCCAAGTCGGTAGAGGTGTCATCTTCACTATCCGAACTCAGCTGATCTTCTGATGAAGTTATCTTCGAAGCACTTAAGTCACCTCGGACTGTTACTTCAGGTGGGGTGTTCAAATTGGGCTTTGATTGACTGGGATCTGTTGATTCTTCACTGGGATCTGATGAGTTGTTTTCTTGATTTTTAATGTACTCAAAATTTTCCCCTGTAATATTATGTGCACCTTTACAATCGTATGATATATTGGAAAATGTATTTGCATTAAAGCAATCTACACCGTAGTCGCCATTCTCCGATGCGGTTGTGTATTGTTCAGAGTCATCAGAATCACTTTCTTCGATAGATACTTCGGACTCATATGGGTCATTTTCTTCGATAGACTGTTCCAAGTCACTTTCTTTGAGGGGCGACTCTTTCGAATCATGCGATTCATTTTCTTCCATAGAATGTTCTGAGTCATTAGAACCACTTTCTTCAATAGACTGTTCCAAGTCACCTTCTTCTGAATCACTTCCTTCAATGGACGCCTCTTCCGAATCATGTAAATGATTTCCTTCGATGGAGTGCTCCGAGTCGTTTTCTGCGAAGACGTGTTGTGAGTCATCCGAATCATCTTCTTTAATAGATTGTTCCAACTCGTGTGACTCCTTTTCTTCGATAGATTGTTCGGCCTCATCTGAATCACTTCCTTCGATAGAGGACTCTTCCGAATCATGTGAATCATTTTCTTCCATAGATTGCTCGGCGTCATCTGAATCACTTCCTTCAATGGGCGCCTCTTCCGAATCATGTAAATGATTTCCTTCGATGGAGTGCTCCGAGTCGTTTTCTGCGAAGGCGTGTTGTGAGTCATCCGAATCTTCTTCTGTAATAGATTGTTCCAACTCGTGTGACTCATTTTCTTCGATAGATTGTTCGGCCTCATCTGAATCACTTCCTTCGATAGACGACTCTTCCGAATCATGTGAATCATTTTCTTCCATAGATTGCTCGGCCTCATCTGAATCACTTCCTTCAATGGGCGCCTCTTCCGAATCATGTGAATGGTTTCCTTGGATGGAGTGCTCCGAGTCGTTTTCTGCGAAGACGTGTTGTGAGTCATCCGCATCTTCTTCTTTAATAGATTGTTCCAACTCGTGTGACTCATTTTCTTCGATAATTTGTTCGGCCTCATCTGAATCACTTCCTTCGATAGACGACTCTTCCCAATCATGTGAATCATTTCCTTCGATGGAGTGCTCGGCCTCATTTGAATCACTTCCTTCAATGGATGCCTCTTCCGAGTCATGTGAATGATTTCCTTCGATGGAGTGCTTCGAGTCATTTTCTGCGATGACGTGTTTGGAATCATTTGAATCATCTGCTTTAATAGATTGTTCCAACTCGTGTGACTCATTTTCTTCCATACATTGCTCGGTCTCATCTGAATCACTTCCTTCGATAGACGATTCTTCCGAGTCATGAGAATCATTTTGTTCGATGAAGTGCTCCGAGCTGTTTCCTTCGATTAAGTGTTTTGAGTCATCGACGTTATTTTCTTCTTTGGATTGTTGCAGGCTATTTAAGAAATTTTTTTCGTTGTAGTGCTCCGATTCATCTAAGTCATTTCCTTCTTTGAAGTGTTTCGTGTCATGCGAGTTATTTTCTTCTTTGGAGTGCTCCGACTTGTCTTCTTCTTCGACGGGGTGTTCCAATTCATTTAAATCACATTCATCGTTGGAGTGTTGATCATTGCTTATGTTCCAATCTTCACTTTCAGAACTCAGCTGATCTTCTGTAGATAAAATTATCTTGGAAGCACTTACACCACTTAACACTGTTATTTCGTCGTCACAAATGATGCTGTAGGTGCTTAAATTGATCTTTGATTCACTGGAATCTGTTGGTTCTTCACTGGCGTCGGATGAGTTGCTGTCATGACTTTTAATGTATTCAAAATTGTCCGCTGTCACATAATGTGCATCTTCACAGTCATATGAAATATCGCCAAATGTATTTACATTAAAGCAATCTACACTGTACTCGCCACTCTCCGATGCGGTTGTGTAGTGCTCCGAGTCATCGGAATCAATTTCTTCGAAAGATTCTTCGGACTCATCTGGGTCACTTCCTTCTATAAACAAATCTTCCGAGTTGTATGAATCATTTTCTTCGTCGGGGCGTTCTGATTCATCCGAGTCACTTTTTTCGTTGAAGTGTTGCAGGTCATCTGAGTCCCTTTCTTCGATGTATTCCTGTTTTACGGTTTTACAACCGTCCCATGGTTTAGATGTATGAAAACGACTGATTTCTTTTCGATGCGGTGTCGACCGACCAGCAATTACACCTTTCAAATTCATGTCGTTGGTTTGTGGTGATATAGAGCGTGATGTGGACGGCGCCACATACTTTTCGAAATTACTTTTCCATTTCAAGTAATTTTGGTATAATATACTTAGCTCCTTGCTTTTGGCGGCCGAAGCGCGAGAGGTTGATGTGTGTCCGGCACTTTTACGTTTACGTTTGATCTGTCCTTCTGTTTTAGCCATTTCTGTGATGATGTTACTGATCTCAGCGATTGTAGACCGAACGAAATTTTGTGTTGCTCTGAAGTTGATTTAATGCATCTGCTAAGCACCAAGCTTGACTGTTTCAAGTATGGAAGAGTTTTTCCTTTTATATTTCGCGAGCACAATAATTTGAGTGACGACATTTTGGATGAAAAATAGGAGTACTAGGCTTTTTCGCGCTTTACCTGTGAGCATCTTATTGTCTAAATTTTAGTTACTGACCAACCAGCGCAGAACAAATAATCGACGAAACACATCTGTATATAATTTTCAAAGTATTTTATAATCCTGCGAATCCACTAATCTCTAGTGCTAAGATTCGTGAATTTCAATTTCTCTCTGCTATTGTTTTGTGAAAATTTTCTTAGTTTTCCTTCTTTTTGTTTTGTTAGTGGACAAAGTAAAACTCCAGTAACACCCAAAAAATACTCAATCGCTTTTGTGTAGCTTGTTTTTGAAAATGTTTGTGTCTGTATTTATTTCTTTTTTGTTTGTGATTAAACAAAAGCGAATTTGCAGAAGGTCGAATATTAGCGAAAAAGCATTTTAAAATATACAATTTTTCATGGAAAATAAAGTGGAAGTGTTCCGCCTACTAAATCCGAAATTTTCCTTTCTACTACTTATACATACATATGCGCAAATTTTGTAAAGATTACAAAGGGATTCCGCGAAGTTTTTGTATTTGCGCTAAGAAATATTTCCCGAATATGTGGAAAAGGTCGCCAACTACGCGTTGCCTTCCGAAAGTGGCGGATCACAGTAAACATAACGTATATAGGCCGATGAATTATGGTTTGTGTTCATATTAGGGTGGTCCTGTTTTGGGGATTTTTTAGATTTTTATTTTATTTTCCAATTAAATAAAGAAATAAAAATACATAAATAAATATATATTATATAAGTACTAACGTATATAAATATAAGAGCTTAATGGAAAAAATTATTGTAAGTCATAAACTTTTTAAATAATATTTCTTTTATTTATAGTCTTATGTGGACCAGACCGAACACAGCACATACACGAACTATTTTCATGATTTGAAACTTTGAATCATAGATTTGTTAAAAAGGGATTTAATATTATATATTCGTTTCTACAAATAAATACTTATAATCAGCCAAAGGAGATGAGGAAACTCAACATAGCTGAGGATAGGTTAGACGAAGTTCCACCACCAATGCAAAAAGAAATCTCCCATGTGATACCCTTCCCTATCAATATTCAGTGCATGCCACATTGCATATAGAACGATTGCACAGTCTTTAAAAACTATTTTTAAGTAATTCCGAATATTCCAGACCGAACATAATTCCGTATAAGACGAGCTCCAAAAAAGTCAACCAAACTCTTCCACTGATAACGTCACTGTAGCTCTGGTGAAGTCCAAAATTGCCAAATACCCACGCGGCATCCCACACTGCTGAAATAACGAGTAACTTTATTGTGACCTCTGGGATCGAAGAATTACGTCCAGTACCATATGCCCCGTATATAGTTCCTTGTGATTTCTGGTTATTTGCAAAAAATTAAAAAGAAGTTTTGTTGGGAAAGGTCTTCAATAGCTACGAGCAGATAATTAATGCGGTTAATGCTGAGCTTGATAAGCTTGAAACGCAAGATTTTGAAGACTATTTTCAGTAGGGGATCTTAGGCTTAAGGAATGGATTGAAATCAATGGCAATTATGTAGAGAAGATAAAAAAGAACAAAGGTTACGATGAAATACAAAAAGAATATTTTAAATTTTTTTTCCGGTCGAGCTACCGAACCTTAGTTAATCGTTTCGAATATCATGTGCCATGGGAAACAGCAAAAGAAAATTATTCCTGTATTGTTTTTGTGACCATATTTTTAATTCTTGTTGTAAGTATTAAGTTAACTGAAGGCCAGGTTTGAGATCTTCACATCTCCTCATCAGACTGCCATTCGAAGTCTGAGCCGTGTTTATGCGTAGAAATCTTTAGCTCTTGAACACATAAAAACTACACATATAATGCGATAAATTAGGAATTACATGAAAATAAAAGTTTCATTTTATTTTATCGAAACCTCAAAATGGATAGCCCTGTATATGCAAGTATGTATATAATATGTATATGGCACGTCAATTTTACATTGTCATGAGCTCTTCGCGCTTCACTCATACGACATATCTATATACTTCTTGTCTGTATATGACTTATTTCATTTAAGTTATTTCAATATACATATGTATATATTGTATATATTATATATATATATGTATATACATTTAAAATAGGTACAGTTGTGTTCGATATTTTGTAGTCAATTTGCTTTGAAATCCAGCGCCGCCGCGAAAATTTCAGAAATCTTTGTATAATTCATTCTAAGAAAAGACGCATCAAAGAGCATTCGTGGAAGTCCTGTATGTCTCCGCGCGATTTGTAGTTTGCGCTTTTGAGCCGCATATTTGCATACGTACAAATGTATAGAAAAATATTTGTATGGAGATTTTCCAATAATAATTTCATTTTCCAAGGACGATAGAATTAGTCGGAAAACTCCTATACCAAACTGTTTGCCTTGGCCTTTTTCAAAATATTCTCTTCGAAGGCGTCACATTTGGTGCTGTCTCCTCGAAAATGGTTTTTAATATTTATCTACAGTTTTCAGCAATTTTAAATTACTGCAAAACAAACATGGATTAATAAAAATAGGGATTCTCATGTTTCTTTTGATTTTTTCAAATAATTTATTTTATTTGATTTTATTTTTAATTGAATAGACATTCGATCAGGCCACTTGATCTATATACAATTAAGAATGTAAGAACTAAAATTTAGCTACTCGTTTTTATAAATTTCTGAAATTGTTTTTCGTTGATTGGTAAAACAATAGTAAAGTTTATAAAAATTAAAATTATTAGTTAACAATAAAATTATATTGTAGTTATTCTGGCACTACACGAAAGCAACGTAGTGTAAAGCCTTATGAATAAGAGAACTGGATTAAATGTTTTTAAATAATTGCAAGCACTTACTCTTTTTTTAAATCTTTTTTCCTCTAACCCTTCAATTAAATATAATAAAAAAATGGAAATATGCAAACTCAAACACTACGCATATGTTTTGTTGCATGATGAGGCCCCCAAATAGCCTAGTGAGAAATCAGAACTCGCACTGTGGAAGCAAATCTGTAAACACCACTCTTCTAAAATTGTTCACCAGGATGGAGAGAGAGGAGAGCGCTCTCAAAAAGTACACAATACCCGGTTTCGATATTGAGGGGCCTACAATAATGACTTACCAGAGATAGTTACGTCTACATTCCGAGAAATGGGTGCGCAGATAGTGAATCTTGTGAAACTTTTATTGGTAAGCGGAGCGGAATTTGTGCAGAATTAGAAGACGCATCCATTATCAGGTACGCCAATAGAGGCACCCCGCAGGGTGGGAGTTTTCATCTCCTTCGTTGGTATCTCACAGTCAGCTAAAAAGCACGCGTTTTGATGCAGTAGCATAAGCTGACGATGCCCTTTACATAGTGTATTTACTGATGTAGTCAAAGGCCTCGCGGTCATTCTTTCTGTTGAGGTTAGGTGCCTGGGCATAATAAAGCAAGCCCCAACTAATGTGGCAAACTCACTTGTAAAATATGGAGAGTAGGACCACTTATTGGATATTGAGGGACAAAGTTGCTTATAGGAGCGAGCTAGCCTCTGCATACAATACAGCAGAGCTGCCTTCAACTTCAACAAAGGCGCTGGAAATTCTACTTAATGTTTTTCCCACAGACCTTTATAAAAACCTTCTTGCTACATTCTACAATATTTTCGCAAGAAGTGGACTACACGACTTCCATTTTCCGCTTTGATAACACTTTCTCTACATAAATATCAGAAAGAGACATATGGGAAAACGCAACAGCTCTGGAGCAAAGAGCCGTGGCAATCTAACGTCTATTCTCCCTCCAAGCAGAACTGTAAGCAAAACAACAGGCATAGTAATCGAATACTAGCTTATGGGGACTCATTTTAGAAGGATGGACTGCTTCTCAGACCACTTGCTTCGCAACTGCCGGCACTTTACCTCAGCCACTGCTCAGGTATCGTTTTCTCGGCAATTTCCTCTTCGCTTGTCTTGCAGAGCTTTCATCTGTTGGTATATTTATTCTCCGGAGCTTCATTAAACAAATTAAGTTGTTTCAGCAGCAGGAAAGGTGGAACCATTTTTGGAACGGCTCTTCCTGTGGTATGAAAAATGGGTAAAACGTTGTAGATAAAATGAAAAAAAAAATCTGGACCATGACTCTTCACAAACGACTTTAAAGCTCGAATCGATGGCAAACTAGGTGATGCTGAGTGTAAAGCGGAATTGGATTATGAGAAATTAAAACCTGACGAGACGAGCTCTACTATCAACAATTGATCACCTTACTATCACAACGCCAGACTAAAAACATCTTTGATGGTCAAGCAAAAATCGGCGGAGCTTAATTTGATGCACCTGCCATATAGTCCGAGCTTTGGACTACCTGAATGCTATTTGTTTCGGTCTCAGCAAAACTCTCTTGATAGTATAAAATTTAATGACGGAAGGGCGACTCAAAAGCAATTGGACAAGTTCTTCGCCGAGTTATGAAGCTATTAAGCAATGAGGTCATAGGGGCGCCTGCAACTAGATAATTTGGCTTAAATTTTTTAATAAAATTAACTTTTTATAACTTTTGGAAGAGCCTTCCGGATGGAAGTACGCAATGCTCCACATTCAATGTTAACCACTCCGATATCGCGGCCGCCATTGCGTAGACTTATTACCGATCCAATATTTGATTTCCGTATTATTTTTTAAGGGACCAAACATATGGTCATCCAATCGCCTTTTTCGTTGATGTTTAGTGAAATACAATAGTTTTGAGTGTTAAAAATAGTCATCATCTCCCTATGTCGCATAATACTTCCAAAAGCCAAAAAGTATATAAGAACCAGTTTATTTCACCCTACTGATATTAGAATTAAAAATTCTTATATGAATGTCTGATAGGAAAATTTCAGCACAGGGTGCACTGAAATGTTCATATAGTAGAACAAGAATTCCATAGTTCCTTAGAAACGCCAAGCAAAACAGATATTCCAGCGAGTAATAGCAAAAACTATTATTTACTAGCAATCCATTTGCGCTTAGTCCCCTGTAGCAGTGCTTAGAGCAACAAGCCCATACATATCGCATATTCATAGAGCTGTGTAGTGTACTAAAGTTTTCCTCTCCAATGCAAAAATGAAAATGTAATGCGACACGGATGCTGTGGTGTCAGACATTTCACCAACTGAAACTTTTGTGTGTTCAACTTTGAATACACATTTGATGAATGAAACCTTTTGGGAACATGATTTCTGCTTTATGCCAGGAAATCCTGACAGGAAACAAAAAACGTTGTGGCATTCAATTGAAAGTACCGCAATGGAATAGTCGTAGCTGGAATATTTAGAATAAAAATGATTTACACATATATGTGTAGATGTGTCATCTAACGATATTCGGACCACGAAAAGAAGCTCTAGTCGAACGAGATTACATGACAACGGAGACACCACAAAACTATGATACTGCTATGTAAACTACAAAGCACTGGTAAATACTAGCGAACCGATAAGCTGATCGGCAAATCAGGCAGCTACGATAGGTTGCATTGTAAATTGCATTGAAGTGCAACTTAGCAGAGATCAATAAATTTTCCTTAACCGCATATTTGTGAGTATGCATATGAATGTATGTGTGTTAGTTTTATCGGCTACTCAAATGGATTTGCTCCTCAATAAGCCATTTGTAGAACGAAACGCTGCGGTATGCTAAAACTGCAGCTATGAAGATGTATTGCTTTCATTCTAAGAACATCATCCATCAGTTACTGGGACTGTATGCACATGAAATCAATAAGATATTTCCAACTTTAATCTTGACAGCTTTTTAATGTTGATCAATGAAGAATTGCAAAAATTAAAAATTAAAAATTTAAATAAAGTAAAATAGCATAAAATACAAAATCAAAAAAGCCACATANATTTATTTACTGGATCTGCCATAATATAAGCCTAACAGTAAGTGTACAAATCTTAAAAACTAAATGAAAAACATGATAGCTCGAGTTATTTAACTCTGAGCCCTTTTCAAACTACGGCGCTCTCCTTAGAAGGCGGGAACATCTCTTCGTTGCAGGCGGGAATTTCTCGAGGGGTTGCATAAAGCATTAGATAGCGGATTTGGATGATTTCTTAGCTTTGTGAAGTACTTCGTCCTGCTTCTTTCAATTTCAGGCTTAACCAGTAAAATACCAAGGCCTTGATGAATGTTAACGTTACGAACGTACCATGGTGCGCCCGTTAGTGCACTTAAAATTTTAGACTGGAACCTCTGTATATTATCGATATTAGTTGCACAGGTCGTACCCCACAGTTGAATACCATACATCCAAATTGGTTTTAATACTGCGCTGTAAATAAGGACTTTGTAGTCTAGTTTTAGACCGGAGTTTTTATTTAAAAGCCAATTTAAACTAGCTGCTTTTAATTTCATGTGTAGTATTTTTGCCTCTATGTGTCTCTTCCAAGTGAGACGTCTATCTAAGTGTACACCGAGATATGTAACATCGTTTACTTGGGGAATGTTTATACCATTTAAGCGAATTGCAGTACATGATTGAGGTCTTAAAGTGAATGTGAATGTTTTTTAGCCATTCTTCGATGAGGAGTAAATGATCACTAATCGTTTTTGCTGCTCTTTTAGGGCATTTATCATTGCATAAAATAGCTGTGTCATCCGCAAAGGTAGATGTCTGCACTTTTCGGTTTAAAGGGATGTCTGCCGTGTATATGATATATAAAATGGGCCCGAGGACGCCTCGCTGCGGAACACCTGCTTTTACCGGATACTCCTCACTGATAAATTCAGATTGTTTAATGGTAAATTATCTGTTAGTCAGATATGACTTAAGTACCATATAAAAATGAACAGGCAGAGCTTGATGTATTTTGTACAGTAAACCTTCATGCCAGGCTTTGTCGAACGCTTGTGCTACGTCAAGAAAGATTGCACAACAGTACTCCTTGAGCTCGAATGCCTTTCTGATTTCATTAGTTATTCGGTTAACTTGTTCGATAGTACTATGCCGAATCGGTGATCTGGTATCACATTGTTACGGTGGAGGAAAGGAGATATTTTTGATAGCAGAATTTTTTCAAATAATTTGGAAAGACTGGGTAGTAAGCTTATTAGTCTGTAAGACGCCGCCTGTGTGTGGTCTTTGCCTGAATTGGCGTTTGGAAAGTAATTTAATTTTAGAATGGCATTAAAGAGTTCAGAGAGCAATGCTTGTGCAACTCTTGGTAGCTCTATAAGCATTTTAGATGTAATGAGGTCGTGGCCTGGAGATTTCTTTGGATTCAGTTTCTGTATCGCGTTTACCACTTCTAGGCTTGATATTGTAATTGCCACTTGATTTTCCTGGCCGTTAATAACAAATTCCGGCAGAATAAAATTATTAGTTGCGTCATTTGGCTGGAATGCATTCTTAAATGCTTTGCAAAGCAATTTGCCTTTACTTCATTACTACGCGTCCAGTTGCCATTTGGGTCCCTCATTGGCATATTCATTTCTATTGGAGGCTTAAATTTCTTTTGTGCTTTCCACAGTGAGTATTTTTTGGCAGAATTTGGCTCTAGTTTTTCTATGTATGCCTTGGCATTGTGATCTTCTGCTTGTTTCAGTGCACTTTTCAGCTTCCTCTCTGCTGCTTTCAACCGTAACTTTGTTGCTGGAGAGCGATATTCTTGCCATTCTCTCCGCAAACGGCGCTTATTTTTTACTAGTTCTTCTATTTCTGTATTTGTTGAAATTTTTGGGCACGTAGTAGACTTTTTACTTTTTGGAGCTGCTATGGTTGCCGCAGAAACAAGGACATTATTTAGCTCATTAATGTAGTCATCAATATCGTTAGTATATTTTTTGTATTTTAGCCAGTTGGTTTCTCTATTTGTTAGTTTTGATTCTTGTGCCACTATTTTCGGGCGCTCGTAAATTTTTCACAGCTGATACAAGTTGCCTGTCGATTTTTCTTGAGACAGCAAAGTCTATTAAGCCAGGTATTTTCTTCCGATCGGTAGGCCAGTATGTTGGTTGATATGATAAAATAACGTAAAAAAAAACAAACTAAAATATAAAAAAAAAAGTAAAATTTAATATAACAAAATAACACAAAAAAATATAATATAATATAAAATATCGTAAAATAAAATAAAACAAATATAATAAAATGAAAATTTAAAATAAAATGAACATAAATAAAAATAAAAAAAAATTAAATAAGATAAATAAACAAAGCATTAAATGAAAGAAAATAAAAAATAGTAATTTAAAACAAAATAAAGAATGACAATTCAAATTGAAACACAAATAAAATTACTAAATAAAAATCATCTCATCAAATTAAATTCAATCAAGGTGGTGCAAAATAATATTAGAAAATTAAATTAAATTAGAATAAAATAATGCAAAAGTTATAAAGTAAAATAAAATTAAACAAAATACACTAAAATAAGGAAAATAAAATGACAACAAAGGATGCTAAGCGAGGAGAAAAGAAATTCGACTTCAACCTTTGACTTGACTACCAACGCCTGCTCATCACACCTGCTATAGTTTTACTCTTAAAATCTTCATAAAGTAACCGCAATCGCATGAAAACATAGAATATGTATGTATTCGTGTATGTGTATCTAGTGTACATTCGGATAAATCACTTTAAGCAACGACCGAAAATCTATGTCAAACACTCGAATTTAACAGTCTAATCTTGCAAGCAGCTGCCAACTAACAAAAGTGTAGATTACAACACGAAGTAGTACACGTATATTTATATATTTACAAGTATTAGCCCACACCACCCTAATTTGAGAGAAAAGAGTAAATGATTTACAACAGTCTTTTTTATATATTTTTTATTTTTATTTTAATTAATTGAATTTACAATATATTTTATATAAATAATTGCCAGTTGCTTAAATATACATATACACATATATTTTTAATATTGATTTTGGTATAATTATGCTTAGATTATAATATTTTATAAATAATTTGTTTAACAAATAAGGACTTTACAAGAAATATAAATGTTTTACTGATTTTTTGTAGAGATTTTCTAAACCTGTGAAAGATTCATTAAGGTCACTGTCCTCCTCTGAAGGTGTCTCCGCAAGCTTTTCCGAAGGTTTCTCTGAGAGCGTTTCTGAAGGTTTCTCTGAATAATTCTGGGATGGCTGCTCAGCAGACTTCGCTGATGTCTTCTCGGGAGCGTTTTCTGTAATTTTCGCGGAAGGTTTATCTGAAGATTTCTCAAAAGATTTATCTGAAGGCCTCTCGGAAGTTTTTTCTGTAAATTTCACGGAAGGTTTATCTAAAGACTTTTCAGAAGATTTATCTAAAGGGTTCTCGGAAGTGCTTTCTGCAAAGTTTTCGGCAGTCATCGCTAACGGCTTCTCGGAGGTGTTTTCTGTAAATTCCTCGGAATGTTCCTCTGAAGACTTGTCGGAAGGTTTCCCTGTATATTTCTGCAAAAGCGTCTCTACATCTTTCTCATACAACGGCTTGTCCAGTAAGCAAATCTTCAAGACCATATCACAATCATAAAAGTTGTCGGTTAAGTGAAACAACTGTCGATCACTGCTAATATTAACCCAATTATCCTCCAAGTCGGTAGAGGTGTCATCTTCACTATCCGAACTCAACTGATCTTCTGTAGATAAATTTATCCTCGAAGCACTTAAGTCACCTCGGACTGTTATTTCAGGTGGGGTGCTCAAATTGGGCTTTGATTGACTGGGATCTGTTGATTCTTCACTGGCGTCGGATGAGTTGCTGTCATGACTTTTAATGTATTCAAAATTGTCCGCTGTCACATAATGTGCATCTTCAAGGTCATATGAAGTATCGCCAAATGTACTCGCATTAAAGCAATCTACACTGTACTCGCCACTCTCCGATGCGGTTGTGTAGTGCTCCGAGTCATCGGAATCAATTTCTTCGAAAGATTCTTTGGGCTCATCTGGGTCACTTTCTTCTATAGACAGCTCTTCCGAGTTGTGTGAATCATTTTCTTCTTCAACTGAGCCACTTTCTTTTATAGACGACTCTTGCGAATCAGCCGGGTCATTTATTTCGATGAACGACTGTTCCGTGTTATGTGATTCATTTTCTTCGATTGCTTGTTCGAAGTCTGGTGACTCACTTTCTTCAGTAGATTGATGGGAGTTAACTGTGTCACTTACTGCGAAAGATTGTTCGGCTTCATCTAAATCTCTTCCTTCTGTAGACAAATCTTCCGAGGAGTGTGAATCATTTTCTTCGTCGGGGCGTTCTGATTCATCCGAGTCACTTTTTTCGTTGAAGTGTTGCAGGTCATCTGAGTCCTTTTGTTCGATGTATTCCTGTTTTACGGTTTTACAACCGTCCCATGGTTTAGATATATGTAAAAGACTGATTTCTTTTCGATGCGTTGTCGACCGACCAGCAATTACACCTTTCAAATTCATATCGTTGGTTGTTGGTGATATAGAGCGTGATGTGGACGGCGCCACAAACTTTTCGAAATTACTTTTCCATTTCAAATAATTTTGGAATAATATACTTAACTCCTTGCTTTTTGCGGCCGAAGCACGAGAGGTTGTTGTATGTCCGGCACTTTTACGTTTACGTTTGATCTGTCCTTCTGTTTTAGCCATTTCTGTGATGATGTTACTGATCTCAGCAATTGTAGACCGAACGAAATTTTGTGTTGCTCTGAAGTTGACTTAATGCATGTGCTAAGCACCAAGCTTGACTGTTCCAAGTATGGAAGAGTTTTTCCTTTTATATTTCGCGAGCACAATAATTTGAGTGAAGACATTTTGGATGACAAATAGGAGTACTAGGCATCTTATTGTCTCAATTTTAGTTACTGACCAACCACGAAATACGTCTGTATATAATTTTCAAAATATTTTCTAATCCTGCGAATCCACTATTCTCTAGTGCTAAGATTCGTGATTTTAAAATTCTCTCTGCTTTTGTTTTGTGAAAATTTTGTTAGTTTTTTTTTTTTTTTTTGTTAGTGGACAAAGTAAAACTCGCTTTTGTTTAGCTTGTTTTTGAAAATGTTTGTGTCTGTATTTATTTCTTGTTTGTTTGTGATTAAGCAAAAGCGAATTTGCAGAAGGTCGAATATTAGCGAAAAAGCATTTTAAAATATACAATTTTTCATGGAAAATAAAGTGGAAGGGTTCCGCCTACTAAATCCCAAATTTTCCTTTCTACTACTTATGCATACATATGCGGAAATTTTGTAAAGATTACAAAGGGATTCCGCGAAGTTTTTGTATTTGCGCTAAGAAATATTTCACGAATATGTGGAAAAGGTCGCCAACTACGCGTTGCCGTCCAAAAGTGGCGGACCACAATAAACATAACCTATAAAGGCCGCTGAATTATGGTTTGTGTTCATATTAGGGTGGTCCTGTTTTGGGGGTTTTTTAGATATTCTTATTTTCCAATTAAATAAAGAAATAAAAATAATTAATTAATTAAATAATTAAAAAGAAATTTTGTTAAGAAAGGTCTTCAATAGCTACGAGCAGATAATTAATGCGGTTAATGCTGAGCTTGATAAGCTTGAAAAGCAAGATTTTGAAGACTGTTTTAAGTAGGGGATCTTAGGCTTAAGAAATGCATTGCAGTCAATGGCGATTACGAGGAGAACAAAGATTACGATGAAATACAAAAAAAATATTTTAGATTTTTTTTCCGGTCGAACTAACGAACTTTAGTTAATCGTTTCGAATATCATGTGTCATGGGAAACAGCAAAAGAAAATTAATTATATATTGTTTTTGTGGCCATATTTTTAATTCTTGTTGTAAGTATTAAGTTAACTGAAGGCCAGGTTTGAGATCTTCACATCTCCTCATCAGACTGCCATTCGAAGTCTGAGNTATGGAAGATTTTTTCCTTTTATATTTCGCGAGCACAATAATTTGAGTGAAGACATTTTGGATGAAAAATTGGAGTACTAGGCTTTTTCGCGCTTTACCTGTGAGCATCTTATTGTCTCAATTTTAGTTACTGACCAACCAGCGCAGAGCAAATAATCGACGAAACACGTCTGTATATAATTTTCAAGGTATTTTCTGAGCCTGAGAATCCACTAATCTCTAGTGCTAAGATTCGTGAATTTCAATTTCTCTCTGCTATTGTTTTGTGAAAATTTTCTTAGTTTTCTTTTTTTTTTTTTTTGTTAGTGGACAAAGTAAGACTCCAGTAACACCCTAAAAATATTCAATCGCTTTTGTGTAGCTTGTTTTTGAAAATGTTTGTGTCTGCATTTATTTCTTTTTTGTTTGTGATTAAACAAAAGCGAATTTGCAGAAGGTCAAATATTAGCGAAATAGCATTTTAAAATATATAATTTTTCATGGAAAATAAAGTGGAAGGGTTCCGCCTACTAAGTCCCAAATTTTCCTTTCTACTACTTATGCATACATATGCGCAAATTTTGTAAAGATTACAAAGGGATTCCGCGAAGTTTTTGTATTTGCGCTAAGAAATATTTCACGAATATGTGGAAAAGGTCGCCACTTTCGCGTTGCCTTACGAAAATGGCGGATCACAGTAAACATAACGTATATAGGCCGCTGAATTATGGTTTGTGTTCATATTAGGGTGGTCCTGTTATGGGGGATTTTTAGATATTCTTATTTTCCAATTAAATAAAGAAATGAAAATACATAAATAAATATATATTATATAAGTACTTACGTATATAAATATAGGAGCTTAATGGAAAAAATTCTTGTAAGTCATAAACTTTTTAAACAATATTTTTTTTTATTTATAGTCTTATGTGGGCCAGACCGAACCACTACAGCACATACACGAACTATTTTCATGATTTGAAACTTTGAATCATAGATTTGTTAAAAACAAACAAATAAATACTTATAATCAGCCAAAGGAGATGAGGAAACTCAACATAGCTGAGGATAGGTTAGACGAAGTTCCACCACCAATGCAAAAAGAAATCTCCCATGTGATACCCTTCGGGTTTTGGCGTAATTTACAGCCAATATCAATATTCAGTGCAAGCCACATTGCATATAGAACGATTGCACAGTCTTTAAAAACTATTTTTAAGTAAATCCGAATATTCCAGACCGAACATAATTCCGTATAAGACGAGCTCCAAAAAAGTCAACCAAACTCTTCCACTGATAACGTCACTGTAGCTCTGGTGAAGTCCAAAATTGCCAAATACCCACGCGGCATCCCACACTGCTGAAATAACGAGTAACTTTAGTGACCTCTGGGATCGAAGAATTACGTCCAGTACCATATGCCCCGTATATAGTTCCTTGTGATTTCTGGTTATTTGCAAAAAATTAAAAAGAAGTTTTGTTGGGAAAGGTCTTCAATAGCTACGAGCAGATAATTAATGCGGTTAATGCTGAGCTTGATAAGCTTGAAACGCAAGATTTTGAAGACTATTTTCAGTAGGGGATCTTAGGCTTAAGGAATGGATTGAAATCAATGGCAATTATGTAGAGAAGATAAAAAAGAACAAAGGTTACGATGAAATACAAAAAGAATATTTTAAATTTTTTTTCCGGTCGAGCTACCGAACCTTAGTTAATCGTTTCGAATATCATGTGCCATGGGAAACAGCAAAAGAAAATTATTCCTGTATTGTTTTTGTGACCATATTTTTAATTCTTGTTGTAAGTATTAAGTTAACTGAAGGCCAGGTTTGAGATCTTCACATCTCCTCATCAGACTGCCATTCGAAGTCTGAGNCAATTGATAGTACCGCAATGGAATAGTCGTAGCTGGAATATTTAGAATAAAAATGATTCACACATATATGTGTAGATGTGTCATCTAACGATATTCGGACCACAAAAAGAAGCTCAAGTCGAACGAGATTACATGACAACGGAGACACCACAAAACTATGATACTGCGTATTTGGTACCCACTGCGCCTGAATGTATACTATGCTATGTAAACTACAAAGCACTGGTAAATACTAGCGAACCGATAAGCTGATCGGCAAATCAGGCAGCTACGATAGGTTGTATTGTAAATTGCGTTGAAGTGTAATTTAGCAGAGTTCAATAAATTTCCCTTAACCGCATATATGTGAGTATGCATATGAATGTGTGTGTGTAAGATTTATCGGCTACTCAAATGGATTTGCTCCTCAATGAGCCATTTGTAGAACTAAACGCTGCGGTATTCTAAAACTGCAGCAATGAAGATGTATTGCTTTCGTTTTAAGAACATCAATCCATCAGTTACTGGGACTGTATGCACATGAAATCAATAAGATATTTCCAACTTCAATCTTGAAAGCACTTTAATGTTGATCAATGAAGAATTGCAATAATTAAAAATTAAAAATTTAAATGAAGTAAAATAGCATAAAATACAAAATCAAAAAAGCCACATAAATTAAAATAAAATTAATTTAAAAAAAATAATAAAACTGAAGAAAATAAAATAAAACAAAATAACATAACATTAAATAAAAAAAAATAATAAAATAAAATAATGGAGAACAAAAAAAAAATAAATTAAAATAAAGTAAAATAAAGTAAAAAATAAACCAAAATAAAATTAATCTCATATATGCTTAGTTAGTGAAATTATTAAATCAAATCAAATCAAATACGATAAAATATAATAACATAAAATAAATTAAATTAAAATAAAATAGAAAAAACCAAAACTACAAATGTTAAAATAAAATTAGATAAAATAAAATAAAATAAATAAAAGTTAAATTAAGTAAAATTAAATTAATTAAAACAAAATAACACGAAATAATATAATATAAAATAATATAAAAGACATATTATGAAATTAAATAAAATAAATTAAAATTAAATTAAGTAAAATAGCGTAAAACAAAAAGACATAAAATAAAGTAAGATAAAATAAAACTAAATACAATAAAATAATATGAAATAAAATTCATTAAAAAAAGATAATAATATAATAAAATAAATGAAATAAATAAATTAAAATGGAGTAAAACAGATAAAACTATATTAAATAAAAACTAAACTTAAGTAAAATAAAATAATATAATACAAATTATTTATAATAAAAATAAAATAAATAAAATATTAAGTTAAATAAAATAAATGAAATAAATAATTAATAATGAAATAAAACAGAAAAAATAAAACATAAATGTAAAATAAAATAAAATGAAATAAACTAGAAGAAAATATGATAAAATAACGTAAAAAAAAACAAACTAAAATATAAAAATTAAAGTAAAATTAAATTTAACAAAATAACATAAAATAATTTAATATAAAATTACGTAAATCAATAAGAAATAAAATAAAGTAAGGTAAATTAAAATAAAACAAATAAAATAAAAATTTTAAATATATTGAACATAAATAAATACTTAAGTTTAAAAAAATAAATAAACAAAGAATTAAATGAAACAAATAATAACAATTTAAAGTGAATTAAAATAAAATAAACTAAAAAAAAACACTAATTTCATCAAATCAAATTAATTCAACATGGAGCAAAATAAAATTAGAAAATTCAATTAAATTAAAAGAAAATAATACAAGTAAAATAAAGTAAAATAAAATTAAACAAAATATCACTAAAATAAGGAAAATCAAATGACAAAAAAGGATGCCAAGTGCAGAGAAAAGATATTCGATTT